GAAAGAAAACAAAAATACTGAATGAAGGATGCAAAAATACTAATCCTTCAAAATAAAATCCTGAAAAGACAGACAGAGACCACCATAATGCAACAACATCACACTACTACACATGCTCATTTACTCTATTTCTAAAATACTGATTAGTGCAGCTTCAAGGAGTTAAGAATTGTATTGTCTTTTTAATTTACGACATTTCTAAAAAAAAATAAAATAAAATTAAATTAATTCATATGGTAATTTTCTGCCTGCTCACTCCACGTTTTTCTGAGTGAGAAGCTGTTGCATCAGAGTCTGACTGTATTCATAAAAAGAAGAACTGGATGAGAGAGGGAGAGATGAATTCTGTTAAAAGTGCTGTTCATTTAGAGAAGCTGTGACGATAACGGCGTCCTGCCGCCACACAAATAAAATGCGTTAATCCACACGATGCGGCCGAAACATAAACACACCACAGCGATTAAAACTGTATCAGTAAAACAGGGACGACCTGCATATAAACACTTAAATCACAGTGAAGACAGTAAATACGTTTATACCGCTGCAAATAATTATTCATATCAGTTCCTCAGAAAGAGAGAAAGAAGAGGGGATTATGAAGCTTAAACTGGGTTTTGTAAGCAGTGCTGGTGGCAGATTATTGATCTGGTGACACAAACAGGGTAGATTTAGCCCGTTCTGCCAGCCCAAAATCTGTTTAAAACCTGCTTAAATGGACTTTCCGCCTGGATTAGCAGAAAGACTAGAAGCATGGGGAAACCGCTGACCCAGCCCGATCAAAAGTTCATCATCAAACTCCAGAGTTGTCTGACTGACAGTGTTGTATATTTCCAGATCCCCATCAATCCATCCAAGAGTCGGCTGGATTTTGTCGACAAGTACTTAAAACCCAGCAACCTCATCACGTTGCCAGATCTCATGCTTTTGGTGTGAGAAATCCATCTTTGGGCGCCGTCACAAAAAAATAGTCTCAAACTTCTAAAAGTTGTCACACAACTGTAGCACTAGATCTAGCTAAATGGCACAGCAGATTGCATGAATGAGATGCCAGCTCGCCCTTCTCCAGGGCCGTCAGACCACGTATCATGGTGCTGGAGGCCATCTCATGATACCCGAAACACTAGGCAGGCTCAAAGTAACAAAAAACACACTTTCCTCTGACTGAAATGAGTCTCTGCTATTAAAGTTACTACAAACTATGTAGTTTCGTCAGCAATATTGCACGTTAATATGGTCACAGTCAGTGTTTAAGGACATTATCATCGTCTCGTTATAGTCGGGGGGGGGGGAAGGTCGTTGACGAAGATATTTTGTTTAGTTTCGTCTGACGGGAAGGAACACTAGTGCAAGCTCACAGGTCAAAGATCAATCAGAGTGCAAAAACGCCTCCTTCCTAAGCGAAATGAATGGGGATTGACTTTTAGTGTGATGCACTTTTGCTATGCTTGAAATAAAGTTGTCTCAGTGTCTCAAGCATTTCAAACGTCCTCATACTGAGGTTTGACACACTAACGGCTCCTGAAACAACATTGCCGTGTGCTCAGTAAACACTGTAATCCTTCTGTCTGTCTGTTGTGTTGAACAGTGACAGATGATTTGGAGGCAGAGCGTGTCTCACTGCGGTGCTGCTGCTGCTGTTGTTATTTTTGTGTTTGGTCGGACCAGCTCATTGGCTTTCCCCTCGCCCTCTCGTGGGATCGCAAATGTGATGTGATCGGGCTAAGCGAGGGTGCTCGCCGCCCTGAATATATTGCTAAAACACAGCGCAGCCTGCATGGAAATTCTGCCGTTTAGCTTACAGGCCTGCAGCGATAGGATCGAACACAGCCAGCGCTGAAATGAATATAACACTTCAAGGAGCTGCAGCTTATCGCACTCGGCTTATCTGTGCTTTATTTTACCTGCAGATTGACATGAGCGATGGCATCAGATCCTATCGGAGACAGATGTATGTTTAGCGCACAGGAAACACAGATCATTTTCCCATAATCCTTTGATTTCTGCAGAAGGTCAGGTCTGAACAGGAAGGAGAGATTTGGCCTCTGACTGAGAAACAAGCTGGAGGTTTGAGTGCTGAGAAGCACCGAAGTGAAATGATAAGACGACTAAGGTTTCTGAGACAGCTGTGTTGTTCACATACTTTCCTGTGTACTTTGTGTGTACAATAAAAGTCTGTGAAAAGGAAGTAAGAGAACATAAGAAGAAGCAAAGTTCCTGGTCTGTCAGTACTGTGAGCTCTGACTTACCAGGCTAATGAGCTGCTAGCTGTAGTCAATGTTCATTACGTCCTACATATGGAAGTGCTGGAATACATTTCTGATTTGAAGAGTCTTCTGGAGTACAAGGCACGGCTTATTATGCTCATATATTGACATATACGTTTTAATTTTTAATTCAAACAGATGATTACAGAATATATAGTTTTTACCCCCCTGTGTTCCAACAGTAGTTTGGATTTCTAATAAAAAGTGACTGTCCTATTTCTTAATAATTCTACGGCGAGCTATGAGAATAAACAGGGAGGACAGAACAGTACTGATGCTTTTTTGACTGTTATGGATAATAATTGTTACCACATTAGTTCTTTTTTCATAATAAAATCTCTGATAAATGAGTTAAACTTAAAAATGAGCTTTTCCTTTCCACCACTAAACCTTTCCACTGGACTCTAGGTCTCTGTGCTATTTCTTGTGGCCGTAATATTTTTCTTTTTCTGTTGAACAGATGCAGCGACTCTTTGCCAAAAAGCTTGTGTGGTTGAGTTCAGATGGTTCGGGCATGTCATGGCGGACAGAGGAGTGCAGCATTACGATCGCTGCGTGAGAAACCGCAGAAAAAGAAAACAGGGAAAAACACACTTAAAGTCCCAGCCAGCAGAGATCTGCCTGACATTTCTGAGGCGATGAGAGTGTCACCCTGTGAGCTGGAGTGGGTGGATAACAGGAGGACATGCTGCTGAAAGATTTGACTGCAGTCATCAAACTTTACTCAGGCAGAAGTGTCTCTACAAGAGCAGAAAACACTTAGATTTAATACAAATTATTACATGGCTTCATTACCCTTTTTATCTCCAATTTCCCCCCTTAAATTTCTTATTAACAGGGTGCCTGCGAGCCTTGAAAAGTCTTGAAAAGCACTGAATTCCGTTTCCTAAAAAAGGCCCTCAGACAGCATTAATTAGTCTAATATGCAGTGGGTTGAGCTGCAGGAGGCTGTTTCAGACCTGCAGCATAAATCCCCCACTGCTGGAAAGGTCACCAGCTCATAATGGACAAGTAAATATTTATTTATAGTAAGACTTCACTTAAATAAAATCACTTTTAATTAGTTTATGTATCAATCCATCCGTCCATTTTCTCCCTCTAATACGTATCCAGGTCGTGTTAACTGAATTGTTATATCATCAGGAATTATTTTATAAACTGCTGGGAAGTTATGAAAAACATATGATAAGAATAATACAATATATTATTTTATTAACCTTTATTTAACTAGAGGATCTCACCGAGATTAAAAACTCTTTTTCAAGAGAGGCTGTTTATATATTATATAAATATGCAACCTCATCCCAGTCACATATGGGTGTTGGTCAAAACCCCTTGGCGACACTTTTTAAACACGTGTACGGCTACTCGGTAATGTTAGCAAGAATGACTATGCAAAGTCTGGTTACACTTTCAAAATAAAACTACTGGTCATCGTTGTGAAACGGCACGTGTGTTGTTGTGTTGTAGTTTGAACTATGACGTGAAATGGTGTCGTGTGCGTTGGTACCGCACGCCGAAGAACGTGACAAAGCGTAGGTATTAGACGCTCCGGGAGTGACAGCGGGCTGGAACATCAAAAACACGCCTAAAAAACGCCCAACAGACAATTAAAAAGACGTTTCAAACTCTAGGATACGCAGTTAAAGTAAAACAATAAAACCACATACGCACATTTTCTCCAAAGGTTTAAATGAAATTACTTATTTTAAAAATAATTCTAATTCCAAGTCTTCCAAAATTTTAATTCACCAGAGGAAATCAGATTTCTCATTTGCATGTCAGTGTGTCTGTATTCCAGGTGGAGGGAGCAGAGCAGCTCTGTACAGACCACAAATACAAGTTACCAGAATCCAAATTAGAGGAACTGGCGTCACGTGACATAAGTGCAAAGTTCAGCGGGGAGCATCCCAGGAATAGAATATAAATAAAAGGAAGCCTCATTGATAAAGAAGGCCAGTCATTGTGTACAAAGTGCAACGGTGTGCAAGAGCTTTGCATCCAGTCCCAAATCTCGATGCACTACGGTAGACAGTATCCAACAAAGATAAACGTCGGTCAGGCGCATTTCTATAAAGCGAATCACTAAGTGCAGTGAGAAAGGCAGCAGCAACCAATCTCTTCTGGGTTTCCAAAGAAAAACAGGCCGTATTTCTAGAATAAAACCCTATTTTTAGTTTCAGCTTTTGCAATTTAGAAGGGAGCTGATCATCAATTAAAACTGCCAAGTATTTATATAATTCTAGATCATATCAAACTCTTCCATGATCTGATTCCATTCTGTATGTTTAAACTGGCCATTAAAATGTCTCAAATTCAACTTGTCCAACCTTTAAGAAAAAGTTTGATAAATAAACTACACTACTTTCATAAAGTTGTAATTGTTGGTATTATTACTACCTAACTGGACCAAAAAAATATGTATTACATAAGATAATGAATATTTATTAACAAGTTATTAACAACAGCAATAAATGTATAGTGTCATGTTGTTTTGTCTCCTGAGTGTCTCTGAAGAAGGTCTCTGTTGTGGAGCAGTTTACACCCTGACAGCAAACCTGGATGGATTCTGGACTCTCAAAATAAACTGATTTTGCAGCAAAGATCCACCGTTTTAAATACCGGTGTGACCGAGCCTTTAGAAAGAGTCCCACTCAAACTTATATGGGTCAGTTGCTGAAACCGAACTCAGGACGTTATCACGCTCCTGAAATGTTAATGACTGATGATGTTCACCTGGTAGCTGGATGCCGGTCATAAAACAAACATGAGACCCTGCAGCAGGTGAAGTCTCTGCTTGCTGTTGGCTGATCTGAAACGCCACGACAGAAACTGTGATCCTGCGCCTCGACTCGTCTTCCAGCAGAAACAGGCGGAGAGGGAAGCTCACGCCTCGGGCAACAACACGCTCGACAACGATAAGATGAAGGAGCTGCGGCTGAGAGAGCTTTGAGAGTTCCTTTGGAAAAGAGACGGAGAGGGAACAGGAGCAGGGCTGCAAAGCAAATTCAAATCATTTACTGGAGCTGTCACAAAAAGACAACTCAGTCTGTTACAAGTTTAAAAAGCACAGTAACTTTGTGGTCTATAAAGATGTTAAAAGCTGTAATGAGGATTAAGCTCATATATCCAGGACTAACAAATCATAAGGACTGACTAAAACTCATTTTTAAAATAGGAGTGCACTTGTGCCACACAGGTAAACATATGGTAATATATTCTGCAATTTATGTTATCTTTATGTTATATTTTGTGCAGTTTAGTGAGTTTGGTGAGAGTTTACTGAGCTTAAGCTGCTTTGTGCGTGACAGTTAAAATACTGTGTACAATACTGTATCTTAAATATGGTAAGTACTTTTTTACAAAACTGTACTGCAGCGTGCAGGATCAGCCTTCTGAACAGCACTGACTAGTTTCTATTTATTTTGTGTGTGAATGGTTTGCAGGTTGTTTCACATGCTGATTGTTCTGCAGGCTGTGCAACAAATTACCCCTCTGGGATAATAAAGATTTACCTTAAGATACCCTTCAAATCGAGGGATTTTACAATGCATCATAATACACACGGCCACACAGGCCAAGTGAGCTGTGACCACTGAACGAACACTGGCTGCTTTAATAGATAACTGTAGTTCATTACAGCGTGGGTCCTATTTTCATAGTTCTTTTCTATAAGTAATAATACCGTTGCAGGGTAGAGACATTACTGCTTGACACATTAAAAGAACTTTTTTTTTTTTTTTTTGTATCTTTAAGAAGGCTCTGCTTTGGGTAACATCTAAAATAAAAAAGCAGTTGAAAAATTAATTTGTATTTAATCAAATGTATTTTTTATTTTTATTTTTTTGGGAAAAAACATTTCCACATGGGGTAAGATTCCCCCCCCACCCCATGGTGTGAAATCACTTTAATATGTGCAAATTACAGATAAAATAAACTACAACTAGCTGGTTAAAAGCAAGAGGATTATAGACCTATAGGCTTTCCTATAATTTATTGGTCAGACTTTAAAATAGTGAGGTTGCAGGAACTTCATTAGCAGAAAGTCTGAGGTAAAATATGTGCTTGCAGAATTTCTGATTAATCTAGCATTTTACTAATTTAAGGAAAAACAATAAAAATCTCTCTCTCTAAACAGCTGTGGCTCAGGAGAAAGAGCGGGTTGGCCGTTAATCGGAAGGTTGGCGGTTCAATCCCGGCTCCCCCAGGCTACATGTCAAAGTGTCCTTGGGCAAGATACTGAACCCCAAATTGCCCCTGGCAGCTGTTCCGCCAGTGTGTGAATGCAGATGTAGTGTAAAAGTGCTTTGAGTGGTCGAAAAGACTAGAAAAGCGCCATAAAAATACAGAGCATTTACATTTGTATATATACACACACACCTCTCTCTCTATATATATATATATATATATATATATATATATATATATATATATATATATATATATATATATATATATATATATATATATATATATATATATATATATATATATATATATAGCGCCGGCGCTTTAAGGGACAATTTAAGGTTGAACAAAAATCAGTGGTGAGGAGGTTAAACCCTTCCTGTTTCTGCTGTTTGAGCGTAGACAGTCGGTACCAGTTTGTGGATTGACACCGTGCGGTCAAACGGCGTCATATCCATTTTGGACGGTCGTGAGTTGCCCGGCGCTGCAGCACGAGCCCACACACATAACTGAGCTGAAATTAATCATCGGTTCGGCGGGCGGGTACAGTACGGCCGCTCCATGCATATTTCATTCATCTCCTCCGCACCAAGACTCGATCAATCCTTCATGAATAAAAAAATAGCCCCATTTAAACTGAGAGCTCATTTGCATCCATCCAACTTCCCCTCCATTCAGGGTCCGTAACCCTCCGCCGCCACATCACCCGACCCCACACACCATCCTGAGCGCAATCGTTTTACATACAGGCAGTTTTATTCTTGAGAACGGGTCAATTTGGTGGTAACCCTGAATAAGCAGCACTCCGTGTTTGTGCATGAGTCTGAAAATGAAAAGTGTTCCTTAAAGTTTTTCCATTCCAGTCTCCCCTGAATGGAAACTATTTAGAGTTTACTTTCAAAAAGTCAGAATCGTAGTGACACGAGGACCTTAAAATGGTTAACAGAGGAAAATCGCCAGGCTTTCAAAACTGTAAAGTTTGAGTGTGAACTTGACCTGTTGGGGTCTTAAATAAATCAACAGATCCTTCCTCCGAAAGCTGCTTGTAAAGTAGCTGAAGTAAGGCCAGATAAAAAAAAAAGAGAAATTAAATTACACAAGTTTAGTGTAATTCTGATTTCCTGGACGCCAATAGACTCAAATTCGCATTAGATGGTGCAAATTGAGGTGAAGCCACAAGAAATATTCGTATCGTGTCCTTAAGCTTCATGACTTCACGTCAACGAACAGTCGGAGCTGTCGCACAAAAGCTTATGTCATTTGGCGTGGTATTACAACGCATGTTTTGCTTTTCACGGGTCATTTCACGCTGTTTAGACTGCATTGACGGCGTGCCATTTTACGCCTACTGTCAAAGGTAAGATCAGCAAGTGCAGGATATAAATAACCATGAAAGTCCACTAAGGACTTTAAGGTGGACACTAAGACACTAAGGTGGTGGAGGGGTGGTCGGGTGCATTGTAAGCCGGTCCCTGACCCAGGAGACCGGCGTTCGTTCATTTTCATTTTTTAAAGTTACGTTGCTATTGTTGACTGGCTAGCTAACGATGCCGCTAGCATTGACATCCCGCCTGACGCACTTCACGGCTAACTTTAACCATCATTGATTACCTATGCATGTTAACCTCCTTTGTGTTGCTTAGGTCCAGAGGGACTGAACAGCGTGAAATGACACAAATGCGTTGACATGGCACGCCGAGATGTCCCTAAAGTGGCGTGCTTTTTATACGCTATTCCATGATATCACGTTGCTCCTTCCTGTTCTTACGTCACTGTCTTCCTTTCTTTGTTGGCCTCATTCTTCTACCTGCCGTTCACTTTCCTCCATTTTCCACTTTATTTCCTCATCCCTGTATCCAGCCCTCTTCATTCCTTCCATCCTTTCCTCCCCTCTTTCTCTCTCCTCCTGGTGAATCTGTGTTGCCGTCATGAGTCTAACATGATACAGTACCTTTAGTTTGCGCTGCCGGAGTCACTTTGGCGCATTTGGTTCTGATGGCTTTAATATCAGCTCTGACCTGCTTGCTGTTTGAAACCTGCAGGTAGACGGCGAGGTTTCCCCTCATAAATTATCCGTCCTTCTGCAGGGAAATAATAAACATCAGACCGACGGTGGCGGAGGATTACTAATGGGCTGCAGCTAAAGATTTGCGGGTTGGGCGATCTGTCAAAAAAAAGAAAATAATAATAATAATAATAACACCGGGGCGACAGTCAGACGGGGAAATGCAGCTCTGTGTGTTCCTGACATGACTGACACCCAATAAATAACCCATTTCAATTTTTGAAGCAGTCATGATGATAAACTCCACAACAGGCCTCCACGCTCACCTGTGTTGATGCATTATGTCCCTCTGGCGTGACAAAGTGGCCGTTTAATCACAAATCTGTCGCCCTCTTACAGCAGCGAGGCTCATGGCGGCGGCGGCGGCGGCAGGCGGAGAGCCGGGCTTCCTCTCAGGATCCACTGTGCAACAAAAATACATTAAAAAAAAGGTACATTCAGAGGTGTGTAAGGACCTTACATAATGAACCGTTATGCTTTTATTACCTTAGAATGAGACATTTATATCTACATGGCCGTCGCCACGTTGCATCGTCATGTTTCTATAGTAGCTGAACACAAAAAAATGGCGCTACAAAGCGTGTTTCATCACTACGTTCTTGTTCTATTCAGCGGGCCAGATATTATGGTTGGCGGGCAGTTTTGGCGAGGGTCCATAATCACAGAGAGAAGAATGCGCTTCCCTCGTCAGTGTTTGTTTAAACTTTATCTAACGTGGGGTTTATAATGGACTGTGGTGCAGAAACAGTGACAGTGTTTCACACTCTTGCCTCACATTTTCCATGTTGTCCGTCAGCGGCCAAGTCACAGTGACATATGGTTTTACTGAATAATTAAAAGTTAATATAATTTCTTAATAAAAATACCTAAAGAAACCTCATTTCTTGACTGGCCACTCTCGGCTGTCTCAGAAGAGACCAAGTGCGCAGCATGTAACGTTATCGCCCTGTATCTTCACGTATACAGCTGCTTTTATCTGGATCAAACAGACAAAACATCTAAATAAACATCACTTTATGTCCGGGGTGATAGCAAAGGTATGTGTTTGTGATACTTTAACGGTTCTTTTAACAGAAAATTGTGGATAATCACAAAAAGGGTTTGCAGTTTATAGCGTGATCAGGCCGGACATTTACATGATTATAGCCAATAATAGAAGCCTGTTGTTGCCGATGAAATATGTGTTTGGCCTTTGTCTAATATCCTTGTTTGTATTTGGAAAACAGACTATGGCCTATAATTAACACGACTTACTGCGGAGTTGTATATAAAATAAGGACATGATCTCTTGCAGTTATGCTTATGATTCTTCATTATTTAACTTGCTGTGTACCAACCAATCCAGTCCTTTTTACCTGTTGAAATACCTTTAAGTGGCCAAAACAACACATAAAATGCATTTTTCTACTTGCCAGAAAGTGATTGCAGCCTCTATTGACTGAAAGGTAGTTTCTGCCTCAAAATGACTTGATTTCATTCAGAAGAGTTATGTTTCACAGATTATATAATCGAAATTGTCCCCCTTTTTTATTTCATATATAACATTACATTTTTTATTGACATACTGACCATCAAACCAAAAATGTCCCCGGTTTTCATTTCAGAAATCTGGTCACCTTATCGTAGGTTGGCTGATTAAACAGTGACGATGCGAGTCAGACAAGCACACTGAGCCAAGAAACTTTTTGTTGGCGCAGCGATGCAGCTACCAGAATTACGGCGTTTCTCTATGTCATTAAACCACGGTTATATGCTGCGCGATCATGCGCAGTAGACGCTGGTGCCGACAGGAAGTGGCCATGTAGGAGGATTTTATTGTTGCAAAACTGGCTTCACTGCTCTCCATTCAAATCAGCGGGGTGACTTCGTCCAGTAATATACTTTCTATGGGATATACTGTCAGCCACCGTAGCTGAGTAGTAGTATGTAGCTGCAGTACCGGAGGCTGCAGTTTCAGGACCGCAACTGCATTTCTAGAACCCTTGTTTACTTTGATACTGCCAGCTAGCTGGTTAGAGTAACTCTACAGCTGTGCACATCAGCCTCACAGCCAGCGTGCTACCAGACAGGGCTAACCTCCTTTGTGTTGCTGCGCATTACCACCACCACCAATCTACCAGATGGCGCTGTCGCAAAAGAACTACGGTCCTAGAACTGTGGTCCCAGGATTGCGAGGGTCCTGAAACTGCAGCCTCTGGTACTGCGGCTACATGCTGTGGCTTTCCTACGCTCTTTGATAGAGGGCAGTGGTAGACTGGAAAGTTGGTTGCAATTCACAACTCTCACCACTAGATGCCACTAAAACCTACATACTGAACCTTTAAAAAAGGCCTCAGCAGTCATGATGTGAGCAAATAACTCACAGATGAGTTAGAAGAAAAATCTGTTTGTCTTAGTTGACGCAGGTTTTCCCGCTTAAATTATGTTTAGCTGCTGCAATAGGTCAGAAATTTAGGAAATACACTTTTATTCCAAAAGTGAGATCATTCTTATCTGTTGGTGTGTTAAAAATAATAATCACTTTGCACTTTGATGAAAGTCAAACACCGGGAGACCCTGACTTTTACACAATTAGTGGAGTGCCCCTTTAACATCCTATTTTAGCTAAACATGTGTCTCCTGCCAGTGTACTTTAGAAAACACATTCACAAACAGCAGTGAAACTGTTTCTAATAGTTATAGTAGCTGGGCAGATTTTCATATTCCATCATGTGGGAAGGGAACATCGGGGGAACTGAAACTCCAAGAGGACAGCGGGGAGATGGGTTATTGGGAAGCATGGGACGCATATTTCATCATTTATCAAATCATTTATATCATATATAATTTAGATTGTTTATAGCAGATTATAATTGTGTTTTCTTGCCAGATTGGCCCGTGGCTGTACCTACACTGGCTCGCTCTGTCTGAACAGCCCAGTTGGTTAACTTGAGCGCCAAAAGGAAGTGGGCAGCGCTTCGGGGCGCTTCCGCCTCCTGTGTGTTCCCCAGACGACAACGATTTCACACTCTGCATGTCAGAGACAGGGAAGACCAAGTGATGGCAGGAAACAAAAAGGTAGGAGGTAGCAGAGGAACGAGAGGTCAGGGAACACAATGGTGAAAGAGAGCAGCTCGTGCAGCAGCAGTGACCAACAAGCCTTCGGGTCAGCTCCTTCATCCTCTCATGTTGGACTGAGGGCAGACTGGATACTTGTCACCGTTACTGACGCACATGGCAGCCTATAGAGTCATCTTTGAATGCTAAAAGTAGGCCTAATATAAATAACAGAAAAGTCAGTGTGAGGAGGTGATTGGAGTGGACAGGTGGGTCAAAAACCGAGCTTCACCAGAAGGCTGGCAATGTAAAAAGATTTAAAAAGTTAACATTGATTTTTTTTTTTGTCATGTACGTGACTTAGCTTGAGTCAGAACTCTAACCATGATCTTTTCCTAAACCTAATTATGTAAGTGTACACCGGATGTTGCATATTTATTGTTGCTAATTTGACTGTGGAGCCCTGAAACGACGCTAAAGCGTACCCAGGGCATTAAAAAGCAACACCAAGGGGTCTTGACCAGGCGTCCGTATGTGCCTCCCTGAGATGACCACGGGTTGGGATGCTACAGTGACTCACTACTGCCTCTCGAGGTACACAGTGGTATTACAACACAGCTAGCTGGTTGTACAGCGCCATCTAGTAGATTGGTGGTGGTAATGCACAGCAACACAAAGGAGGTTAGCCCTGTCTGCTAGCACGTCGACCGTGAGGCCAATGTGCACAGCTGTAGGATTAACCGGTTGACATGCATATAATCAATAACTTAGGTTTAGACACACACCCTGTAATGGTTAGGGTTATTGGCTTCGGGGGGCTGTCAAGAGTACAGCTGGCTAGCTAGCCAGCCAGTTAGCTGGCAGTATCAAAGTAAACAAGGGTTCTAGAAATGCAGTTCCGGTCCTAGGATAGCGGTCCTGAAACTGCAGCCTCCAGTACCACAGCTACATACTACTCAGCTGGTTAGCAAGCCAACTTCAGTAGATATGTCTGCAACACAATACACGTGTCTTTGACACGTCAGAGCTCTTACTTCTTCTTCACCCAGCAGTTACAGAGCAACATGATTGTTCACGTCTCTCTGTTAGCTCTGTAGCTTTGCTCTCCACCAGCTGTTTGCTAACTGCGTCTGTCTGCTGTTTACTGCGAAGCACCTCGCGTACGGAGGCTTTTTACAGTTTGTTCTCTGAAGGCGACTCTAGGAGAGCGCCGATAGTGAACCAGAACAAGAAAACTGCAGACGGACATTTAAACCACGAGCTGAAACTCTAAAGCTGTGGTTCTCAAAGTGGGGTCTGGGGACACCCAGGGGTCCTTAAGGATGCTCCAGGGGTTCCCCAGCAAAATGGGGAATAACTTATTGTTTAATTCCATCTGTAAGTAACATAAAAGAGATTGTATGACTATTTTGGTCATGTGTTTCAAACACTTTCTGTAATAAAACATCTAAAAGCCAAAATCCTACGAGATGGGAGTCTTTTTAATTTTATTTAACTTTTATTTAACCAGGCAAGTTAGTTAGATTTATGAGACATAACATAAGAAATTATACAACATAGCAAAACACAAAGACACTTTGGTGGTCCGTGGTCTAATTTGTCCTAGACGCGAAAAAGTTTGAGAACTGCTCTAAAGAAAAGTAAAACCGAGAGGAGCGTATTAATTTGGCATTTTATGTTTTTATGATATGACATACATACAGAAAGTGAAGTACTATATACTTTATATTAAAACTTGCAACATGTAACAATTGCAAGATTTTGACCACCTGCTAGACGACCGCTAACTGCTGCTAGTTAGCTCAGTACGCCGTGCAGCTAGTAGCAGCCCTGTTAGTTTACTTTGCCCGGATTGGGAGCTCGCAGCACCGGGTGAGGGTTTGGACCGCCGGGAGGAGGTTTTCTGGCCCGGGGCGAAGGGGACCCAGTGGGGAACGCCGTTGGGGAGCGGCAGCGGAATAAGCACCAGAATTGGAAGCGGGTTCAGCAGCCTCCCAGTAAACACGCCCATATCGGGAGCAAACGGACCGACGGAGGCCAGTTTGACGACAAATACAGTACCGAGGTGAGTTACAGCGGCTCCGACCAAGACATGGGGGGTTCAGGTGGGGACAGGAGAGGCGTCAAGCGGGAGAAGAACGAGCAGGAGGTTAAAAAGGTAACGGCGGTGTGACTCTTTTTCTAGCACTGTCTGATGCCGTTGTGATGTGACTCTAATTGGACTGCTTTAATTAGCCGGCTGAAGTGTCTCTGTCGCTCTCGCCCTCGGCAAACAGAGAAGGTCGAGCGTTTCCTGCGGCTCAGCTCAGGGACCTCCTGATTGGGCCCTCGCTCTCCTTGCCGACCTTGCAGAGAGCGAGTTCGCCATTTAGTTTCACCTGAAAAGGCGAGCAGGGACTCAGGGAGGAGCGAGTGTTTGTGGGCAACAGAGCAGCTGTGAGCCGTGATGCTGTCAGACGCTCAGACAGCTTGTTGTTTGTTTTCTCTGCTTCTCTTCCTCACAGGGATTTTTTTTTCCCGCCCGCAGAACAAAACGAGCACTTTCTAATTTAACTTATTTGATTTCGCTGTAAATTAAATGTGCTTATTCCACTGTTCTTAAGATTGCTCTGCATTAGCACCAGCGTTTAGTTTGACTTCTTCCTGAAAAGCAATCATTTCTCCCTAACTGGATCTCTGTAACCACATTTGCTCTGCTTGGTGTCATAAAACGCCGGCTCATTGCGGCAGATTGCCCTTTCCATGAAACCTGAACTGCTGATGGAAACGCAGAAGAGGAAATAAAAGAAGAAACACTCAAGAGCTCGGAGTCGAACTGGTGGGTGTGTGCTGCTGTGGATTAGAGTTTCTGCTGCGGAGATATCAAACTGCTGACCTCGACTTTCTCATTTCTGCAGGGAAGCACAGAGAAACATTCAGACTTTACTCCGTTTTTAATAAACTCTACTTACTTTAGTGTAAATCTTCAGCTTTAACTGGAATCCACAGCATGAAACAGATTATTTAATCCGTGTAGAAGTACTCCACACAGTCCACCGGCAGCCTTTAAATGTCCTGACGAGGCTCACCTGTGCAGGTGTGTTTGACCTGGCTGTGAACCCAGTGGGCGGGGCTGCAGCCAGTGGTAGAAAAAGTATTTAGATTATTTAATTAAGTAAAAATTTAAAGTAAAAGTACTCTTTTTAAAGCAGAAGGGCCTCACTTGTTGAGACACTAACAGGTGGGCAGCGGAGTACTTTATTTTCTTTGTGGTAGTTTAATCTAGTACAATACATCATGTTTGATAAATTGGTCTCATGTTTTATATGAAAAGTAACTTCAGCCGAGTAAAAATGTAGTGGATTAAAAAGTACAATATTTAGTATGGTGGAATCAAAGTAATAAGTAAAGTACAAATACAAAAAAATACACCTTCCAACAAGTGAGCCAGCAGTTCGTCCTGTAGTGAGCTGACAGGTGGAGGACAGGACGTGATCTCCACATTGAACTGAATCCTCAGAAACTGACAGAGATTGACAGAGATTCATAAAACGCCTCTGATAACTGTCTGATAATTAACCAGTCTGGACCAAAGTGGTGGAATTATATACTTATATATCCATATATAAAGTATGTAAAATATTTATAGAGGAGCCACCAATTAGGGATAAGATAGGTGTCATGTGATCTTTTCAGTAGCGATGTGCGGATCGATCCTAAAGTATTGATATTTCTGATACCAGTGTTTCCTGCTGTAGGATCGATACTCATCTAAAAGGATCGATATCTAAACTCAGTAAAGGATGGTCTAATTATACTCGGCTGATAGGAACTACTTCTCCTTCCGCCTGCCACGGCTCTGGTGACGGAGCTTCTTTGAAGTGAGCCGCTGCAGCCCTTTACGTTTCCCGCGATTGAATACTGACTCTGGCCGACTGTGAAAGCCGTCACGTCTGGCTGTATTTTAGCTGTGAAGCTAATAATGATGTCTGAGTGCAAAGACAGTGAAATTGATTGATTGAGCTTCTTTATTGATTGTAAATATAAAAGTGGCGCCTCCAACAAGAGATGCTCCAGCTAGATACCATCAAAAGGATAAAAGCACAATAAAGCCAGACAGCTTATTTCCATTGTGCTCCTTTTTTGGATGGAAAATAAGTTGGAGCACAGTTAGTTATTCACTAAAGTTTCACTTAAATTGAATAGGCCTGTACAATGCATAATTAACACTGAGATTTAAAACAACAGCATATTGACAACATTTCATGATATTTATTTTATAATTGTTATTGTGAGGGAAAACGGCCACTCAGCCATTTTGTTAGCGAGGACTTAAACTCATCGGTAGTCTGTTCCACGTAATGGCAGCTGAAATACAACTCTTAAACCTAATGAAAACCAAATCAGTTGTACTCCCTCTTGTGGTATAATTATGGTATTCCCTAATTTTGGTAAAGTAGTTGTACAGGTACTTTAATACTTTGGCAACACTGCAAACTTCGCTAAGCATCTGAGATTAATTCACAATAATATGATGATGTCATGAAGCTGCAGTTCTGAGCAGGAGATTTTTCATTATAATAAAAGAATGTGACAGTAGTTTGATGTCATTATGCAGCTATTATTTGGAATTGGTAAGGCTACAGCCTGCTCTTTATTTCCCCCATTAATACAGAAACGGGAGGTCACATTAGACTAGAAATAAAATATTTAAAAAGTATCGGTGTCGGCAAAACCAGCCTGGGTATTACTAGGAATTGGATCGTATAGGAATTAAGTGTTATTGTACATCACTACTTTTCAGTATTTACATACTACCTCCCTGATCCCGCAGGTTATCAAGACTGGAAACAGGCACACTCAGAATATAGAGGTGAGAAAGTAAATGTTTGGATTAAGACTATATTTAGTTTAGATTCTTATACTATTGCAGAAGAAATTATACGGCTTTTAATAGATTAAAATGTTACGTGTGATGCATATTTCCCCTGCTAATTTCAAACCACTATGCTAAACAATGGCTGACGGCGGTGGGGTGGATTGTAACAACCATCCCCCAAAACACTCAGCGAAGGACTTTCTTGATGTTGATATTTTCCCAGCGTGCCCTGTACGCACCAAGCCTGCACTGCAGGGTTCCCAGCATTCATCTGTCAGCACTGTGACTCTGAGTAATGTGTTAAATACACAGATTGACATGTTATTTTTTTAAATAAAGATGGACACACACACACAATATAGACCTGTTTTTGGAGAATATCATGTAAAACATTTGTTTTTGCTTCTTTTATTAAACTGTTAGGCCCTGCCCCTGTACTGGGTAGGTATTGTGTGTTTTATGTATTCTTTTGTTATTATTATTTATGGATTTTGTTCTTCTATGTAAATGTTGTTATGAGGGACTTTGTGACTGGCGTCTGCAAAAAGTGCTATACAAACAAAGTTACTTACTTACAGTTACAGTATCTGATCTATTAATCATGAAAAAGCCACAAAAATTAGGTTTAATTTATATTTTTGATTTTCACTTCATCAGAATTAGAGTCATATTTTTGCTTACAACAAGTCCACATTGTTTTTTCTTTTTATATCACAATATAGGCTGCTTATAGTGTGTGCGTGGTAAATGTTCAGTCCGTCACGCCGTGTTTACGGCTCAGTGTCATTATTTCAGCACGCGCTGGAAAAACAGACTTTTAATCTTTTCAGGTTCTTCTGGTGAAATGAAGGTTAGGGGATCGTGGTTGGTGGAGGGGAGCGGCAGCCTCTTCTCCTGTATCTCCACAGAGATCAGCAGCCTCCATAAGAGCCTCCTCTCTGTTACTGAAGCATGCTGGGGAATGATAGTGGGTGATGGGGGGGGGGGGTCCTGTGGGCATGAATCGGCCCTGGCAGGCCTTAATGCAGCTGTCAGGCGTCCTGGTCCAGCGATGCGATTTCCCCCGTTCCGTCACCGTCACCGCCAAGATTATACGGCTTTTAAATGAGCTGCAGCCACAGGGAACGGCACCCGGGGAACGCCTGTCGCAGAGGCAACATGAGCCATGATTTGCCGTGCCATTAATCTCACCGGGGAGATCGCAGCCGATTTGTCCTCGCCAACAAATGAAGCTGTAAAACTTCTCCTCCCCCCTGCGTGTGTCTCTCCGGATGAATCCGTCTGACAGGAGCAGGACGCCACAGAGACCTGGACCCGAGCGCCGCACGCGCGGTGTCTGATCGGCCAATCAGGAGCAGAGATCCATGCAGGCGTCTAGATTCTTGTGGAGGGAAAGAGAAGAGACGCAACACTTCAGTTTCACTTCACTTCCATCCGTCTCACCGAAACTGGAAGCAGGACTGACTCAGCTCGCTGATCCTTCGCCTCGGACCAGGCCTCAGCTCCGCCTCCCTGCAGGTGAATTATTTGAAAACCAAATAAAGAATAAAAAAGTCTGCACCCACACGCATATTCACTTTGTCCTCATTCCATACTGATGTGTGGCTGTCTGAAGCTGTCTTACACCGGTGGGCCTTCAGCTGCAGGTGTGCAGATATTTTATCCCGTGTGGTTCTGCACACGAGCCGTGATGTATTCACAGGTGACGGAGAGGAGCTTTTATACAAGCATTGATGCATTGGCAGGTGATGGAGAGGAGCTTGACATTGACCTATTTTCTTTCTTGCTGCATCGAACATAAATCTGGACCCCGTGTGTAACACCTGTACCGAGACCCTGAACCAACAAGAGAGCACCTGCGTCTGTCGTGGTGTTCAGGGGCATCGGCGTTTCACTATGAGGTTTTATTTCTGCCGCTGTTTGTTCGGTCTTCATTATACGCTGGGCATAAGACCGTCTTGTTCTAGCCTCTACAGCAGTGGTTGGCAATAGGTGGCCCACGGGCCAAAGAAGGTCGGCCAGAAATAATAAATGGCCCGCAGCCAGATTACTTTGATAGCGGCAAAAAAAAACCCCAAAACATTATAGCGGCTGGCGCTGAAACAGATCTCAGTCATCACAGCAAAAGTTACTCACATAATCACTTCCTCTTAAGTCTTTGTGCCTACAAAATAAAAGAGAACATTTTTGCAGCAGTGCTTTATGGCGTGTTTAATTCTCCGGCTTGCTTGAAACACCTGTGAAAAAGCCGTCATAAAATGCGAGATGATGCTCTTCACAATCAATTTGTTGAAAAAGGAAGAAAAAAATACCAGCAGCACGTTCCTGCAGTAACCACACACACAGTAAATGTTGGAATATAACTTATTACAGACTTATTTGCCGACCCCTGCTGTACAGTGAAGAAGGATTCATTCGTAATGAAATATTACTCTGAGAATTCACTGGAATCATGTTTTAATTAAAGCGAATTGGTTTCCAGCAGATGTTACTCCAGTCTGTTGCCACATAAAAGAAACATAACCAAACTTCCTGAAACTGAAGGCAGCTGCTCGTGTCGAACAGCTGCGTTCCCTCTGATCCTCCTCTTTGTCTTTCTTTTCTCTTTTTAATTCACACGATTTCTGTAAAGGTCACCTCAGCGTTAGCGTTATCCACATCCGTTTGGAGAGGAACACTTTGTGCCCATGTGCACCTTTCAGACGGGACAGCGGCGCCCGATAGGCTCTAATATTGTTTTAGATATAAGAAGAAGTCGATCAAACTGTTTATTTAGCCAGCAATGAAGTATTTCTTGATTTATTACTGTCAATTTTTTTTATTCAGTCTTGTTACAAGGTACTAACATTTATTTCTATTAATAAAACAAACCCTGAAATTAATTAATTAAAAAAATTTTAATCAGTATTTTCACCACAACTGCAGATTTTTCTAGTTTCAGCCTGAAAAACTGGTTTTGATGGTTGTATTTTTCCAGTCAGTCTCCGGCTCTCGTCCTGCTGTTTGCAAACAGTCTCCTCTTTCTCAGGCCCTGTGCTCGGCCCTGAGGGGCCCCCTGAGAGACCCGGAGGACCGTCTCAAGTGTTCCTGCTTTGTTTTGTTTCCCTTCTCCTCTGTGTGCTTTCATGGCGGCCATTAGGCAGCCGGCCAGCGGCGGCGGTTGTTGTTTTGAGC